TACGTGTACCACACATGTAGCATAAGGTTGCTGAGATTTCTGCTTGGATGGGACCCCTCAGGGTAATCACCAAGGAATCCTCATCCTTGAAGGATGGACTGCCATTCCCGCTTTTGATAGCCCAAGTCGACGTTCTCCGCCGGTAAAAATGCGCGCGCCTGTAGCATTCAAGCTAGCAGTGATTGCGAGCGCTATGTGCTCCGTCGCGACGGCTATAGACGTTGGGTCTATGATTAAGAATTTCTTCAGCGACGACGACGCCACGGGGTCCACTGACAGCGCTAAGCAAGCCAACCAGACGAACACCGACGACAGAACGTGTGTATACGAGTGGTCTTCACTGAGCTGCCAGCCCGAAGACAAGTGCTCGATTCAGTACCAGTTCGGTGACGTCACACCGTCCCAGGCCTGCCGTGTGACCGACACCGGTGACCACACAAAGATGCCGCAGCAGTTCCACTTGGCGTTCGCCGGTAAGGAAGCAGGCACGGGCATGGCCATCTCCTGGACCTCGTTCGGACTGGAGGAGTCTCCCTCAGTGTGGATCGGCACGAGCGAGGCCAAAGTTGCGCTCGTGAAAGACGCCAAGATCGAGGTCAAGACATACTACAAGGACGACAAGTACGCGTTGTACAACTACCATGCTGTTGTCGGCGGTCTTGAACCCTTCACTGAATACGTCTACAAGGTGGGTAGTGCAACGGAGAAGAAGTTCCAGAGCGCTGTGAGTTCATTCAAGACAGCACGCGCTGCTGGCGACAAGAGTCCGTTCGTCGTGGCTGTGTATGGAGATATGGGGACCGAGGCGAACTCGGTGGCGTCCAACAAGTACGTGAACGATCTGGTGGATAAAGTGGAATACATCTACCACCTGGGCGACATTTCTTATGCAGACAACGACTTCTTGACCGCCAAGACCGCGTTCGGTTTCTTCTATGAGGAAATCATCAACAAATTCATGAACTCGCTGACCAATGTAATGCGTCACATGGCCTACATGGTCGTGGTAGGCAACCACGAGTCCGAATGTCACTCGCCCACGTGCTTACTATCTGATAGTAAGAAGGACCAGCTTGGCAACTACTCCGCCTACAACGCTCGCTTCCGCATGCCGTCGCCCGAGAGCGGAGGTGTATTGAACATGTGGTATTCATTCGACTACGCCTCGGTGCACTTCACGACCATCTCGTCCGAGACGGACTTTCCGAACGCACCGAAAAACGCCTACTTCACTAAACGCACGTACGGTAACTTCGGTAACCAGTTAAAGTGGCTCGAAGCTGATCTGAAGGCTGCCCACGCCAACCGAGCCAACGTGCCCTGGATTATTGTTGGTATGCACCGTCCTCTGTACACTCTTCGCTCCTGCGATGCCAACGGCGTACCAAATGACGAGTACGAGTCCTTGAAGGTTCAGAAGGCGTTTGAGAAACTGTTCATCAAGTACAAGGTGGATCTGGTCTACCAGGGTCACGTACATGCGTACGAGCGCCACTACCCGACGGCAGATAGCAAGGCCATCATGCACGGCGTGTCGAAGGATGGCAAAACGTACACAAACCCGAAGGCACCTGTGCATGTCATTGCCGGAATTGCTGGTAACTCGGAAGGGCTGTACCCGTTCAAAAACCCTCCGTCTCCGAAGTGGTTAGCACTGATGGACAACGAGCACTATGGTATCACCAAACTCACTGCGAGTCCAACAAACCTGACGATCACCATGATCGAAGCCGCGACTGGAACGGTGCACGACGAGTTTTCTATCATCAAAAAGAAAGCGTCAGCGAGTTGAAGTCAAACGCAAAAATGTGAAGTAACTACATGTACATATTGAAGGCCTTTTTCCAACGTCTTATTATAATACTACTACATGTACTATACTACAACAAGTATTATACTAATACCCGAAGCACTACCAGGATAATTTATGCAAGAATCTAAAAGGCTCCAAGAAGTACTAACTTACAGTACAAAACAAATACATCGAGTGCTGTACAGTACTGCACCCCGTTTTCGCGCCCTTGGACCTTTGATAAACTTCCGGATGTGATGATCCTGAGTCGCATTTATTTGCAAATCCTGTATGGTCCACGCCCGCGAAAACGGGGTGCAGTACTGTACTGCATTGGTACACGCACAAATACACGTATTTTAATAAAAATAAGATACATGTATGTCTACTCCCTCGTCGCAATGGAGATTTAAGATAGGTGACTTTGCTCTGGCGACAATAATGTATACCGGGATTTACCGATTCAGGACCGTGGGAAACGCAGGAACGCTCTTACCTCTCGGCGTGTAAGGACCTTACACAACGCGGACTAGTAAGTTCACCGTGGATGGCCTCCGGCGTGCTCTAATTTCTCAGAGAGATATGAAACGTAGAGTTTAGAGGAGCAAGGCACAAGATTTTCCTTAGTGGACGG